GAGTGATGGAAAGCCAAGGCGAGAGTGTGTGTGTGTGTGTGTGTGTGTGTCGCAGCTCTTAGCAGCGTGTGTGTGTCAGACAGCTCCTGTAGGTGTTGATTGGGGAATATGTGCATGCATGTGTGTGTGTCTGCGTTTTTCTTTCTGTCCCTGCAGCATTCCTCACTTCACCTCCTGCCCTCTCTCCCTCTCTCTCTCTCACTCTCTCTCTCTCTCTCTCTCTCTCTCTTTTTACCCCGTCCATCCGTCCGTCCGTCCGTCCGTCCGTCAGTCGGAGATGTCAGCCTCCCCTTTGAACATGTGATGGTTTTCTACTCTTTAGCTTCTGAGCTGAACGACGGTAAAATGTGATTCAAAAATTAACTAAATGGAAACTAAAGGATTCTGCTTCAGTGACGTGACGTCAGCAGGCGATGGGAGACTGTAGCTAACAATTAGCACTCAGCACACAAGTCTATTGATGCACACCTGCATCACTAGAAAGTTACCTGAAACACTCATGTCCACGAAAGCCTAAGTGTGGGATTTTTGTCAAATTCTATTTAGTAATTTTATAGACTACATGAAAATATCGACTCCAATGTGCAGCATCAGTGCAACAAACCCGTTATAAAAGAACCTGTGAGCGGTGTTAGCCTGGGTCGTGTCCCTACGTGAGCCGGACCATCAGCAGGGCAGCAGCAGTGAGGAGCTCCAGGTAGAGCCACAGCACCACCGACAGAAAGCTCGGTGGCTGTCCTGGAAAAATCACACCACATGCAATTCACCCGTTCACAACCTGGATTTAAAAAACTGGTTTGACACAAGAATCATCTGTAGAAGCTGGACCCGAATATTTGGTCTTTGCGGTGGTGTCCGAATAGCAGCTGTGATGGTCGAATATTTCCACCAAGGAAACAGAACTGCGGCCGCTATCTTAAACTGGCATTAGCAGCCCAGTGCTGCCAGTGCGTCCCGCCCACTTCCACCCCGGTCCCGCCCACTTCCACCCGGTCCCACCGAATATCCGCATATTTGCCATTAGATGGGCCCAAATATCTGAATATCAGAAATCGGACCAGGCCTAGTTCCAGCTGGTGATGTGCGACACGCGAAAGACATGAAAACTAGAGACGTCCTGATCAAGTGTTTCTGTATCAGATGATCCAATACCGGTTCCCTAGATGATACAGACTTCAAGTACGTTAAAGTTATAAAAAATGTTCCTGTATTTCTTTTCCTCTGATTAGTTATATGTTTAAGTTCAGCAGGTCGTCTCGTCCGATCTGAGGTCGTAGTCGTCGTAGGCGATCCGTGAATAAACAGGCAACGGCTCTTTGTGGAACAGACTTTATTTAAGGAGCCCTGCAATGCATAAATAAATGCATTTTTGCATCCAACGCTGTTCCCTCGTGTTCTGTCGGTGGAACCTTGTTGTAAAGTAGAGCACATTCTGAATGCTGTGTCGAGAGCATGTGCTGGAGCTCCACTAGCTCCAAAACATGTTCTGTGTTCTCTACATACCCGTCAGAAAATGTATTTTAGATCAGCTGTAGTACCTGGTTGCACCACCAGGTGGAGCCTCTTACTGTTTAACGCCAGCAACCAGAGGTAGCGGTCACTGGGAGTACTGGTAATTCTTTGTGGGTAAGCAGAGAGCATTGTGGGGATTTCGCTAGCAGGGGGCACCGTGACAAAGACCTCTGAGGCAACATCGGCAGCACAGTCTGGGTCGGGTGGAACCAACATAAATGTATGTGGGTCAGATGGGGTCCAGCAGGTTGGGCGGAGACTTGACCAGTACAGCAACAACAACAGAACCAGTTCTTCAGTCCACGTGTGGCTTCATTCAATCAGAACAACCGACACCAGAGAAGTCGGCTTCACCTCGTTAAGAATTCAGAATCCATGAAGTTGGCCTCGGACATGATGAGTTCTGGGTTCATTTAACCAGTACAGCCACAGTGGGCAGAGTGGGAGGAAGTGGATGACATGAGGCAGCATGAGACTGTTGGGGGGATGGTATTTATCGATGAATGAAAGTTTAAATACTGAATCTAAAGACAACTGCCGGTTTCTGAAGGTTTATCGTTGGAGGAATTTCCCAACATGACGATGATCCCAAACACACTGCAGCAGTCAAACAAAAGTTTAGAAAGAAGAAAAAAGTTAAGAAAAAAAAACAAAAGCGTTGGCCTTGGATCCAATAGAACACCTTGGGGGCATTTAGAGTGGAAAGCAGAACAACAAAACCCCTCCAGCAACGAGCAGATGGTCTCTGCATAGATTTCTTCAAGACTCGTATCGTCCGTGCCCAGGAGGATCGAACGTTTCAGCGAAAATTGGGACAAAGGCAGCATACTAAATATGACGAAGTAAGAACAGTGTGTGCTAAAGAGTGTGTTTTGTGTTGTGCTGCAAATCCTCAGTAGTCAGTAATGCATGAGTCTGCAGGCCTTCAACATGTTCAGCAGCTTCTCAGAGCTGCTTTTCTTTATACTGTCGTCAATAAATAGGTTCATTTTCCAACAAATATCAGTTCTTATATATTAACTAGAAGCACCTGAAACGAATACAGGCGAAATAAAACGGACTAAAATAAACCTTTCGCTTTCCTTGGAGAACATTTTTTCTTGTGTCAGAGTGCAAATGGTTGTAGAGCAGATAAAGAAGGGCTTCAGAGATGTACAGGAAGCCAGAGCTGACCCTCACATGGGCTTCTGGACCTTCAATTAATGGAGGAAAAACTGCAGCGTGAACTCTTCTTTATTTCTGCCCTATTGACGGGTTCCAGCAGGCAGCTCATAAAAGGGGTGTCAAGGATGGAGATCATCAACTGAGTGACTGCTTTTCAGTTCTTGTTCCGCTCAAAGAAAATGCAGGACTGAAAATCTGAAAGTGTGAACGAGCGTTCTTGGCTACGATGAAGGAGCGTTTGCTCTACGTGCTGCAGATTAGCCGGGAAGCAGAGCGACAGAAACAGGAGTTCACGAGCGGCGTCGGCGTGAGGGACGCCCCGCTGCTCCCGAGAGCCGAGGAGAAAAGGGAAACGAGGACGGGCCTGGAGGAAGGAGGGGATGTGGCGCCAACGAGAGCCATTGTGCACGGTGGCGTGTGCACGGTGGCGTGTGTGTGCACGGTGGCGTGTGCACGGTGGCGTGTGCGCGCACATCCTAATGAGTCACCGACAAACTCATGTTTGGTTCCAGCAATTAGTCATAATTAGTAACTGTGTATGCATGTCTCGCACCGAGTCTTGTGGCGTTGCTTCTAGGTGAGTATCGCAGATCTGATTGTCTTCCACCGTGTGTGTGTGTGTGTGTGTGTGTGTGTGTTGCTTTGTAGCGCCTCCATTCTGTGCTGCTGTGCATTTAATATACATTGATCAGTGTAATTGGTTTTGTCCTCAGCCTCTTGCTCCACTGAGTTATAGGTTAATATATTCCCAACACAAGGTAATGACACAATCAGTCAGGTTCTGTTGTAACACAGTGTTTTGCCGTAACCTCTGCTGGCAAACCCGTCTCCCAATAATTGCGCCGCTATGCGACTAAACTGCATTCTCATTTACGTTTGAAGGAAAGGTAGTTTCTGCCCGAGAGGTAATGCTAGGACAAGGAACGCCACAGAGTCCATGTGAGGAGGAGAGGATGGAGGCAGAACTCAGCCTCCACAAAGCAGACTTTAGAGGTTTTGGTGTTTGGTTCCGGTTTGGCATCCACGTGGTTAGATTTAGTAGAATATTACTTTCACAGCGATTCCTGCTTGTTAGAGTCTTGGTGAAATTTAGGCACCAACACTTCTTGGTGGCTGAAAAGAAGCAAACACCAGAACATTTCCCTCAAACATAAATGAGATGGCATCAGTTGTTTAGAAGCATCATTTCTGGGAGACGGGGCTGCTGCTGCTCTCTGGCCGTCGCTGGTCGTCACCTCTGAGTTCATGTAACATCTCCAGCATCTTCTACGTCGCAGCGAGCTGAGTTTCCATCACAGTTTTTAACACGATTCTGAGGTTATGAATGCCAAACTGTTGAGAAGATGACCCTCAACGTTTTGGTACAGCGAGGGAGTTTGTGACATGTGAAATAGAAATCCTTCAGAAATAATCAAGCAGCAGTTTTCTAATATTTAAAGGGCCGATGTGCAGAAATCATTCACCTTCATGGTGTCGAGCTTTTGGTTTATTTGTCCAGATTTAGATAAAATAACAAAATGTAATTCACTGGTTTTAAACGTCTTTTTTGCAGCCTCATAGTTTGCTTTAATGTCCTAGAAAGCTGTAGATTTATAGGAGGGTTAGTGAAAAGCACAATACAAGCTGGAGCTAATTATACACATAACAGAAACAGTTGGTGTGATTTCATTTAACTTCCAGCATCATCTGGTCTATTCGGTGAGTGAACACCACAGCAGGTCAGAAGAACTTCAACAATTCAACATTTAAGGAGGGTCCAGTTTAAAATAAATAACATTATATGAGTGTTTACGTGGATAAAAATCCTCTAGAAATTAATTTTGAATAATTTATGTTATAAATTAAAATGTATTTTAAAAATAATCATACAAAATGAAATAAAAATAACAGTCTCAGAGCTTTGTCCTGATATTTTTGACATAATTAGTATCAAACTTCTTCTTTTTATTTTGTATTTTATTTTACATATAACCAGGAAACTTTTGGACATTATTAGGAAATTACTAACCTGTAAAGTAAGGTTTTAGTGTCTGTGTTGTCAGGCTCGGTGGGTCGTGTCTTTAAATGTTTAGTTGATCCTTTCACTGTGTTTTCTCATTTTTCACCCACTGCCTCATTACTCAGCGCTTTATGCAGGACTAGGTGCACAAACAGCATGTTCTCTGCTGCTCAGTGTCTCAGAAGCTGCTGGATGGAAACACAGCTGTTGTCGCTGGAAAACGTAGAATAAAATCTGTTTGCATTTTCCAAACGTCAGTGCCTGAGTGAAGCAGCGATGTGACGCAGCCCTAACGCCTTGTCTTGTCCTCCTGCCACCTCCACAGTCTGCACGGTTCGCTGTCAGAAGTTCCTGATCTCGCGGGTCGGGGAGGACTGGATCTTCCTCATCCTGCTGGGACTCCTCATGGCCCTGGTCAGCTGGGTGGTGGACTTCTGCATCGCCATCTGCCTGCAAGGTGAGGGATGGAGGGACTGGGCTCTGAACCTGCTGGCTGAGCTCACAGTCAGCAGCGTTAGGAGGCAAAGAGGTGATTCTAAGAAAGAAGGAGGATTAAATGATTGGAGGTAAAGGGTAGGATGTATGGATGAAGGGGAGTGGTTGGTTTATACTTGGGGCTGGAGGAGAAAAACAAAATGAGGAGGAGTTGGACTGGTGATGAGACAGAAACACTGAATCGATGCAAGAGAGCAGAATCCAGACAGAGGACAGGTATACGCAGCCTCTTTATACTCGTATATGAACGTGCACCATTCAGCTTTTCTAAACGAGTCTTTTAAATTACACGGAATGAAATGAAAGTTTTGTGGATGAACAACATGCACCAATTAAAAAGCTCTCCTCAGGCAGTCTCATCAAGGAAAATGTATTATTTACTAAAGAATCAATGCCGAAGTCGGTGAACAAGAGGTTTGTACTTTAGTCACGACTGTGACTGGAGGGAACCGAGGAGCGTACGTAGGAAAAAAGCTAATGTGCTCGTGCAAATATTTATACTGAGCACGTGGCTCTGCTGCAGTTTATTGAAAGTCTGCATGAAAAATGTGTTTGTAAAGGATTAGAAAGTACATCCAGAGCTGGAGAAATGAAAAAGGTTCTTCATGTCGTCCTGGGAAACCATCGACATCGATACGGTGTTTCTACGAGTGGATCTAAACATGTCAGCATCTTCTGTTTGGAGTTTGTTAAAAGCCTCTTGGTGGATTTCTGTGGACGTTAATGAGAATGAAAGCCCTGCCTGTTACCAGTGCACATTAGAATAAAAGTCTAATAAACTCACCAGGTTAACAGAGAAACACCTCAAAGCCTGGTGGAGCTCATGCCAGTGATGGTTTGGTGAAGCCGCAGACTTCATCATGTATTCGCTGTTATTTTACGCTGAACGCTGATAAACCTCCTGCTTATAAAACCTCAGTTAAAGGAAACTGTCTGTCAGCAACATTAATTTAAAGTAAGAGAAGAATCTGAATAACATCCCCCGTTAGTGTTTTATATATGATATCTGTTAGCTGATTTTAACGAGCTGGTTGGTTTAATCCACAGCTCAGTGTCCTGTTCAGCTTTAGCGGTTGGACTTCCTGCTGCTCAGGTTATCTGAAACACATAAAATGTAGATAAAGACAAGAACCTCTGACTTTACACAGCATGTGAGTAAATCTCCTTCAGTTCCACTCCATCACTGTTGGTACGGCTCAACACTTTGGATGAAAACCAAATGGTACCAATGACCAGAACTCCATGGACGATTAGCATCGACATTATTAGCTCAGTAAGGTGAACCAGTGGGTCCGTTTTCTCTCATGAATTGGTACTGTTCAACTATTTTTTCACTTTTATAAACATAAAGAGAACAAAACACAAGATAAAGAAACATCAACATTCATCCAAATTCACTAAACAGTCCTCCACCATTCCAGTCTGGTATTCAGTCCATTTATTCCAGTTACTGTCCTTTTGTCCTTCTTGTAGTCGTAGTTTGTGGGTTAGTTTTTCCACTTTATAGATTTCTTCAGTAATCATCCACCACTGGTCCTTGGTGGGGCCTCTATCTCCTCCCAGGTCCTCCTAAGAGCTTCATTTACACACCACCAGTCGTATTTTAATCAAGTATCCATCGTTTCCCATCACGCTTTTGGAAAATCATTTCCCAAAGCACAGTTATTTGCTGACATTCCCTAAACGTATGTGAATGATGGACATCGAATTCTCTACAACATCTCTACTGCTGTCTGTTTAACCGTCTACTTGTTCACTTTGGTGTAATAAAGAAGATTCTTCCAGGAGAACTTCCTTCTGTTAAGCCAACCATATTCTGCAAAGCATCGTTTAGTTCCACCCAGCACCTGGTCCAAATCTATGACACTGACGTTCAACCCCACCAGTATTTTACACTTTCAGCTCATTAAAATCATGGTGGGTTGAATTAAAACTCTTTAAACCACCTGTTGATTTTGCTGAGTCATCCTTTAGCTTGGATGAAACTGTAAAATTCTACTTTTTCTCACTTGTATTAATATTTATATCCTTTGCTAAGTCTAAACGTACACCTCCTCCCCTGTTTGCTGTGACCAGCTAATCACAGATCACACCATGAGATCAGCTTGACTTTAATAAATTTGTAAATTACTATAATCTCCAGAACTTCCCTGTTTAAAGAGATTTCATCGTTAGCGGTTAACCTGCAATTAGGCTAACAGCAGTGGTGTGTTTTTAGTAACGCTGCAGAGAAAAACTCCTGCAACACGGGGGACACGAAGAACGAGGTTATTGTATAAAGACAATGAAGCAGCATCATGTTGAGAACGTCGACGTCCTTCCTGAGCTTCACTCGTCTTCGCCTGCCGTCACCGAGGCACATTTACTCGCTCAGTATCGCCACCAAACCCAGTGGTGAATAAGAACACTGATCAGATGTTTGGCGGCTCCTCCATAGATCAGTTTAATGTGAGTCTACCCCGTCAACAAGCCGACGGTGTGGCGCCCACGTAGCAAGGTTGGTTTAATACAAAGCTGTCACAGCACGGTTCATACAGCTTTAAATCATAATGTAAAGAGATTTAGGAGCAGCGCTGCAGCCTGAGATTCATTCAGCTGGGCAGAGTTATGAGCCGGATGAGTTCAGGAGCAGTTAAAGTCTGTTTACTGAGCTTTATCAAGACATCTGCACAGCGCTGCACTTCATATCTCTGATTAATTTGGCCCAACAGGAGCCTGTAAATAGAGAAAGTTGTTACTCGGGATTGAGCCCTGGGGCCGAGCGTTGGAAGATAACGGTGTGTTGGTTATTGTGAGGGTCTCAAAGGGGAGAGGCAAGAAGGCAGAGGGGGCAGAAAGACCAGGGGGGAGCTGAAGTCAGCCAGAGGTAGAAGTGAGCAGTACAGAGAGAAAGAGAGCAGAGGAAGTAATAACGGAGGATTGGAGGTGGATTAAAGGATGGCAGGAGGCCTGGATGGAAGGTCTCTAATGGCATCAATCATCCGGCTGCAAGGTGGATGAAGGAAAGTGCAGGAGGAGACGTGTGGACCAGAGAGTTATCAGAGAGACTTTACATTCCAGGAAGAAGAAGGTGCACGCTTTGAGACGACTGCAGGAAGCTGTGAGAGCTGATCTGTAACCTCAGGAGATGGACGGTGTGTGTGCGTGTGTGTGCGTGTGTGTGCGTGTGTGTGTGTGTGTGTGTGTGTGTGTGTGTGTGTGTGAGAGAATGTGTGAATGTGTGAGTGTGTGTTGTGCTGCACCGTCAAGGAGAAACTAGCTCAGTCTTGTCAGTTGTGGTGTACAGTTTTACTTTTAGTTGGATCCAGTTCATGACTAATCACCTTTTCTGAGGAGACACACCTCCACGCCGTTCAGCTGACAGCTCCACTGTGTCGGTCCTCAGAGATCTCAGCTGTATAGAGTATGTCTGCCCTCGATGTACATACGTGTGTCCTGGTTTACACGTCTGCTCTGGCTTTGCGTGTTTGTGTCCACAGCACAGAAGTGGATGTACGGTGGTCTGGACAGCAACGTGTTCCTGCAGTACCTGGCCTGGGTCACCTACCCCGTGGTCCTCATCACCTTTTCTGCCGGCTTCACTCAGATCCTCGCCCCGCAGGCTGTTGGTACGACACACACACACACACACACACACACACACACACAGGACATGGAGGTCAAGCACACAGATGCGGCTCCTTGTGGGCCAGATCTGGCCTCCATTAAATATATGTGGCCCATGTCCATGTCTGCACTGGTACTGAATGAAAATCACATCCATCCATTATCTATACATTAGATTAGATTAGATGTAACTTTATTGATCCCTTTGGTAGGATCGGTGGTTAGCATCGTTGCCTCACAGCTAGAAGGTCGCCGGTTGGCGTCCCGGTGAGGACACCCGGGATCTTTCTGCGTGGAGTCTCCATGTTCTCCCCGTGCAGCGTGGGTTCTCTCCGGGTTCTCCGGCTTCCTCCCACAGTCCAGAAACATGCTGAGGTTAATTGGTGATTGTAAATTGTCCGTAGGTGTGAATGTGAGTGTGCTTGGTTGTCTGTCTCTAAGTGTAGCCCTGTGATAGACTGGTTACCTGTCCAGGTGAACCTGCCTTCACCCTGAGTCAGCTGGGATAGACTCCAGCCCCCATGACCCTGGTGAGGATTAAGGTGTAGAGATGATGGATGGATGGATGGATATGTGGTTGTGCACGACATTTTGTGAACAAATTAAAACAATTTGCAAAAATACTTTTAAATGTCTGAGTGCATTTGCAAGATTTGCACCAAAGTTTGCACTTTCACATTTAGTGTTCTCTCTCTGGAGATGAAGAACATGTTCCTGTCATTACCTGATCACAGGGAGGGTACAGGATTGATGACGAGTGTGTTAGCCAGCTTGTTTAGCTAGCATTAACAGGAGCTCCAGAGTTTGCTGTTTGGAGCAGACATGAGGTGGAAACCCTCGTCTCTAGAGGCAGCTTCTTGATGCAGCAACACATTTGGAATTATTCATTCACTAAATGTCACACACAGCCTCAGATCTCCTCACCAAATCAGACATGAAATCTGTTTATTCTAATATTTTGTTTTTACACGTTCAGACATTTGCATTCATGTGATCAGAAGGTTTTTACACACTCACACATTGAAATGTATTCAGATTAAAAAGCTTCACACGTTCAGTTGTGGTGATGTGCAGCTACAACACTTAGGACTCGAATCTCTTTCTGCTAAGGCTTGTGTAAGTGTCAGCAGAGTGACCGTGGAACATCCCACAGCAGTCAAATAGTCGAACAACAGTCACGGTTTGATGAGATGTTTGAAGGTTTCACGGTGCAGCTTCAGATGCACATCGTCTCTTTATGTGGAATAACGTTGGTGACACGTGACAGGAGGCAGACAGACGAGTCCAGATCCGCTCAGTTTTTGTCGTTCATCTTCCATATTTGGAAATGAAACCCTGACAGTGGTCCCAGGAGCTGCTGAGTTTCAGGTTTCTGTCACTTCCCAGTAATGACCTCCTCCTGGACGGTGGTGTGTGAACGGTAGATGCTGCAGTCCAACAGCTCCAGCTTCCTCCCCACAGGGCCTCCTCTGCTTCAGGATGAGGGAAGGGAGAGAAAACCTCCACCAGGGATGTGCACATTTGAAAGCTGCAGTAGATTTAAGTTCAGGTTGGGTCTGTCTGAGTTCACTGCAGCCCTCTGCACGAGCTGGTCCTGCTGCAGGTGGAGCAGAGCGTCGGCTGTCACTCCTCGTAACGGAGGCTAAAGAGACGGCTGCGCTCCTGAGACTCTGACGTGTCTTCTTCTAACACCGAGGCTCGCTTTCCCTTCACTCGCTGTTTGCTGTTGGAATACAAAACACAGTTTGACAAGCAAAACCCCGTAAAGTCCGTTAAGCTCAAAGGATGCAGGGCTTACCTGTTGGAGTCAATCAGGTGCAGTCGTCCTCAAATGTGTTCACATCCTTCCAGTAAAGAAACTCACAAAAAGTCACTCAAATAACTAGAAACTGGAAAAAGTAATAATAAATAAAAATGTTCTAAATTATAATTTAGTGAAATAAGACGTTGCTTCTGAATTGTGGCTAAAAAGAATAATTTTAAAAAACAAACAAAACAAGACTGTCACAGACAAATTAGAGCCCTTTCACGGGTCCCATCATGCTTGTTTGCTTGTTTTTCTTTTTGTTTGTTTTTTTTAAAAATATTTCTGTTGAACCAGAAATTCAAAAGCATGATTCTTGTCAAATTTTTATTTATTATTGCTTTTGTCAATTTCAACTTATTCTAGCTGTTTGTTTCCGTCTTTAATGGGAGGCTGTGAACACATGTGAGGACGACTGTGATGATCATAAAGCTAACACAGTGATGTCTTACTGTAATGACCAAAGCAAAGGTCGACCAGTTTCAGCCGTTTGCCAAGTAAATGAGACGAGTCTTTAGCCTTTTAAAAAAAAAATGCTTTTCTTGTGGGTTTCTCTGGTTTGAGGCTTTGACAAAGAACATCAACAGAAAACAGCTGATGTCGTGTCGTCATCAGAGTTCTGCAGCACTGAAGAACTTTTTTTTAAACTCCTTTTTCTTTAAGGTTTAACTTCATTCTTTCACATTCAGTTGCACATATTTGCAGTTAGTTTTGTTTTCAAACCTTGTTTTTTTTTCAAGATGAGAAAGCGTAAATGAATGTGTTTGTGGTTTTGAGCAAAGAAGTCGACTAAAAACAAAACATGGGGAATATTCTGACGTTTAAAATGCACATTGGATGTAGAAATCTCATTTATGTTGGGTTTTATAAAGAAGGAAAAGTAGAACGGGTGACTTTCTGTCTTCCTCTTTCACTTTATTCTTCTATTTCATAATCTTTTCATAAAACAACTAAGAATTGAGAGAGGAAGCAAAATCAACTGCTGCTACCCACTTCTTTACATGTCTGTGTTTCTTATATTTACTGTCTTGAAGTTGACCGTCGGCTGTTCTCCTGCAGGTTCAGGCATCCCAGAGATGAAGACCATCCTGCGAGGTGTGGTGCTGAAGGAATACCTCACCTTTAAAACCTTCGTGGCCAAAGTCATCGGCCTCACCTGCGCCCTGGGCAGCGGGATGCCTCTGGGCAAGGAGGTAACACACTGCTCTGTGCTTCATGCTTGTGTGAATGGAGACAGCCTTCTGAATGAGAAGACACACACACACACACACACACACACACACACACACACACACGTTTGTCAATCAGTGAGTCAGTCGTTACAGTGCAGGACTCACAGGACTAAAATTAAATGGTGTGATGAACGTAATGCAAAATTATTCATGTGTGGGCTCGTGTGTGTGTGTGTGTGTGTTTGTGTGTGTGTCCGTGTGTGTGTGCTAATCTACTTTATAAATACAGCAACCAGTAACTAAACCAGGCTCTAGAACCGTATCTTTACACTGTGCAGGTGGTCTATGCTGTGTTCTATGTGTGGCTGATCTAAAGGCTGAAGACAGACGGAGGTCATTCAGACATAATGTAATTTTACAAAATATAACTAATCAGCCTCTTTAATAACTTCAGCGTTAGAAGTATCTGATATGTTGGTGCTGAACCACAACAGATCGCCTCAGCGTCGGTTTTGTTTTCAGTAAACTGAGAAACAGCAAATGAATTCTAATTACAGCTGACTGATTGTTGTTCCAGGTGAGTTGTCTGGAGACGCTGATCAGGATTCTGCTGCTGTCTGATGCTGCAGTTATTTAAACTCTCTTTGTGATGTTTTTGGATGATTATTGGGACTGGAATGTGGAAAACGGCAGATTGTTTAAGTACCGCTGCTTGTGTGAGTCGATCCGTTCATGAAACAGCCTGCAGTCGGCAGTTCAGACTGGTTCTGAAACTGTTACCAGGTCCGACCTGAGGAGACATGAGAGGAGTGACCAGGACGCTACCTTCAGGTGTGGACAGATCTTTGGGAAGGTGTGCTCACCTGAAAGGGCCTTTAAACAGACTGCACCAAGCAGAACCTCAGAAAAACCAGATGCAGATGTACACAAACGATGCAAAGACCTTCTGCTGCTGAGGTCATGTGATCTCCTGTCAACCATCTTGTCTGCTGACGGCTTCTTCTCAAACTTCCAGATGTGGGCAGATTAGCTTTAGCTAAGCTAACAGTTAGCCGTGTAGTTTGATTTTACCGTTGTCTCGTAGTTTTGGAGAAATGTTCCTGCTATTTTTATCCACAAATTGAGTTGTAGAGAACAGAACAGGTCCGAGTGTTAATCTGTGATCCTGACAGATGTGTAGTTGCCGTGTTTTGTCTTTGTAGGGCAGCACTGATCCACGTAAACGAGCCGCCGTGTGTCATCACCACAGACTGTGTGAAGCAAAACCCAGCTTCACTTCTTTATGTTAGCAACAGAACTCAAGCGCTGACCCACATTCAACAGTTACGCTGTTTTCTGGCACAGTTTGAGCAGATCGCAGCGTGAAGCCTTTGTTTGTGATAAAATACAGACCTCAGACCAGCTGCTGTCACGTCTGAATGTCCAAAATAAACCCTCACAGTACAGAACACCAGCTTCCACCGAAACCTCATGTAGGTCAAAGCAAAGTGTGAGAACACAAGTGAGGTTTAATCATGCCTTTAATCAGAGCATATGCAGCGTCTAACATGCTCCATCGCATGAACCCTCAGCAGCTCATTCACATTCCAGTCCCCCACAGCCCTGCAGCATGCATTACAAATGATTCATAACAGCGCACGACGAGGCCGACACGCTCGGGTTCAGGTGGAGAGCAGCGACTGTGAAATCTGGAGAAAAGAAAGAAAAGCAGAAAAAGGAAGGAAAGTGCCGAGTTGGCTTGAGACCTTTTCTAATCCCAGCGGGAGGGAGGAGGATGTTTTTCTGCTGCTTCTGGGATCCCCTGCCTCACTATGCAGATGTTGTTTGTGTCTCATGGAGGAGGTGGAGTGTGTAACGAGGTGCAGGAGACTGTTTCTTGTAGCAAAAACAGTTCAGGTGCTGTAGGTGCATCTTCCCCCCAAAGACCGGCTCGCCTGAAGACACGCTCGCCGCTAAACGCTGCTCCCTCCTGGTTGCAGCAGCATCCAGTCGGGATTCAGCGCAGGCCTCTCGCTGCCTCTAACTCCAGCATCTCACTTTTAAGCCACTTTGAACCTCAGCCTCTGAATCCAGATGTCCTCGGTAGACTGTCTCGTTGTTGACGTGTTTTCAGAGAGTTTCCGTGTTGCCGTCACACTGACTCACAACAGAGCAGGAGGTCCGGAGAGCTTCTCACACTGTGCTGATTGCTTCATGTCTTTGTTTCTCCTCCCGTCAGGGTCCGTTTGTCCACATCGCCAGCTTGTGCGCTGCTCTTCTCAGCAAGTTCATGTCTCTGTTTGGGGGAATCTACGAGGTGAGCCCTTCTTACTTTTACTTTCTCTGTTTTTTAAGTGTGACTTCACTGATTTGTCTTATTAACACAATTTTAAGTGATGCATATGTTACACATCAGGTAAATGTTTAAGGTGAACCCTCAGAATGTTGTTCCTGTCGTCCAGATGTGCGCACATCTGGATATCACACTGAACTCTAAGCATTCAGCTCAATGAGCAGCAGCGAGTGGTGAGTTTTACCTCTCAGGCCGCCGGACCTGAAGGTAGAAATCACGTTTCTGGTTTTCTCTTTAATTTGACCGCCTGATTTCTGAGTGAGTAATTTATTCGCTAAAGCCTTAAAAATCCTACAAGGAAAGAAATGCAGCCTTCTTTATCTGAATGCCAAATAACTGCAGAGCACAGAGAATGAACGAACGAAGGGCTCATTTGATCCATCCGATGTACTGAGGAACCGTTAATACATCCACAGTTCTGCTCAGTCACTCCCCATCCACGACCACCCATCACTCAGAACCTCCCGCTCTGGACCTCGGTCCCCAGAAGCATCAGAGGATCCTCCTCACTCTCCATTTTTAAGATGCAGACACACCTTTTCACCACTGCCCACATCCTTTTATTACATGTTCCTTTCTTCGTTTTATTTCTCCTTCAGTTTCACACAGTCCTGCATGTTCTAGATGTTTCCCTTCTTCCAACACACCTGATTCACATGATCAGGATGGTTATCAGGCTTCTGCAGAGCTTGATGATGAGCTGATCGTTTAATCTAGAACATGCAGGACTGTGGCCCTCCAGGACCAGGACTGGACACCCCTGATTTAAGGAAAGCAAAAATAATCAGTTTGTCATAATAAATAAGATTTAATGCACACACACCACAGAAACCAGATCCACTGCTCCCCATGTTGGTGCCACATTCAAACAGTTTGGCTTATAACAGAAGGAAAGTGCCAGCGAGCCGTTAAAACACTTCCTAGAGCATCCCTGTAGCTGGCATCCATGTGAGCATCACATTCAGTAGGTTGTTCTTACCGTAAACATTCCTCGGTCCATTAAAAGTTCACTGTACGGGACAGAATCTGAAGTCCTCCTGCAAACATGTGTTTCAGAGTTTATCTGAAGTGGTTTCACTTGGACAAATATCTCCATGTTTTCACTACAAACTCCCTCTTTGTGTTGTCACAGACGGTGCCGCCCCGCTGAGCTACAGTAGAGGATAAATAACACAAAGAGAGAGTTCTGTAGTGAAAAGGCTTTAACTTTGGACGATCCCTGCTTGATTTGAGATGACGCCTCGTGCTCTGACAAACCTCATGTTTTTACTGACAGGAAAACCTGTGCTGATGTTCACACGGGCACCAGGATGTTTTCTTAAAGAAGGACTTGGAGAACTGTGAAGCTACCTGGTGCAGCATGTCGTGTTCAGAAAGCAGTTTTTATAACTCCATATGTTGTAATAACATAAAAGTTGGGGCCAGAATGAGGAATGTAGGTGCAGCTCAGGTGGGATAAGACAACAGCAGCTCAGCTATTTGACTCACTCACAATCTAACATCAGTGCGTCTTCCATCAAACGGTGTGGCTTCATTTTTTCTGAACCTCTGTAGAAAACAGCACAACCACGAGCAGGAGGAAGAACTCAAACATCTCCTTTGTGCAACATGATGAAGATAGAATACCATCAACCATCCAAAAAGTCCAATGAAAGTTTCACATCTTTGATTATTCATTAGAAAAAAATAGCTGAAAATGATAGAATCCACTTGTGCAGCACAGAACAGAAAGACTTCATTAATCCCAGACCTGGGAAATGATTTTGTTACAGAAAACACCAAATCACAAGTTAGAAAATATAATAAAATTAAGTCTGTGCAAGTAGAATAATAGAAAAAACAGCTGAAGTGAACACAGTGTGGCAGATGAAGGGAAGAATTTCAAAACTATGACTTCAACAGAAACGTGCAGGTTGTATGAAATAAAACAACGACGGGCTCAACACGGTTAACCTAATTATTTAATAGTGCAGTAACTTTAAAACTTACAACGATGAAGACATCACATAACCAATTAAACACTATGAAAAATAAAATCAACCAGCTATACTAAATGTGCAACACAAAGCGTGTCAGCGAGCAGAGAGCTGAGGACGCTCAGAGTTCCTGCTCTGGACAGGACGGAGGTCCAGAACCAGTCCTGGAGCTGAACCAGTCCGTCTGAGAAGGAGCTCCACAGCCCAGAAGGAGGCGGAGGCGGTGGTGGGGCTTATCCAGAACAGATAACGGTTTATAGATGTTTAACTGCTTCCTGTTTCCCGTCTGCTCAGCTTAAACACAGCCTGCAGTCACTCATCTCAATACAGTGATTTGATTAGTTATCACAATGTGAAGCTTGGATTCAGGTGAACTTCCCCTGAAACCGGAAGTCACAGGTGATTAGTTGAAGGACGGAGGAGGACTTTGGTATCATGACTCTGATAAACGGCGTCATTCTGTTGTTTTTAAAGTTTCTGTCAACCCCAGCAGCAGCCGTTTGGCGCTCTGAGGGTGAAGACGTCTGTTAGTTTCCTCTGAGCTGTGACGACGGCGTCGATAAAGTCGACGCTTCTCTTCAGCAGGCGACTGAATCGGTGTTCATGATCATCAGGACGCGGTTACAAAGGAAGCGTCGTAATCTCCTCCGGCAGCGTTCAGAGAAAGACCAGGTGGAGGAAACGAACTAAAACAAAAGCTACAGAAGAAGAAGAATGACGTGGACCGGACGGAGCTGACATTTTTATAGTTGTTCAAAAGTGTTCAAGGAGACGGCAGAAGAAAATGATAGATAATGACGGAGGGGGAAGAGAAAGAATACATGAAGATGAGCACAGGAAGTTCTGGACTACGGGCGGATGAAGGCTGCTTCTTTATTTTATATTTGTCTGACTAAATAGCTTTTTTGGTCCGTTTCTTACTATTTGTGTTGTTTGTGGAGCTCAAACAACTTTGCAGATTTTCGTCTCTCTTTGTGATGAGATGTGAGCGCCTCTGTTGGAGGATGAAATGTGGGAGGGTTGGAGGAGACAGAGGGCAGCAACAGGAAGGACG